AACTGAAACAGCTTTAATGGATAAATGATAACAGTTTTATCTAACTACTGTTACAATTGACTTTTACACATCTCTCAACTATGGTCAGAGGGGATTCACCAGAGACTTAGTCCATGTGTGTGCCCTGCAAATGGATTTTGGGATTCCGCTGTCATCCGTGGCCTTCTCCAAACAGATGTTCACAATGTAAGCTCTGTACCATTCCCTCCTTTGGATTTGCATTTTATTATGCATAATCCTTGGATCACAGAGGTTGGTGTGCTTCTTCCATGTGGACTTAGTTGACACCTCATTTAGATGGCTGCTTGTTTGATGACAAGCCTTTGAGATCCCAAATACTGTTCCTTCTGATAGCAGGGCACCATCTAGTTTATTCACCACACTTTGATGTAGCATCCATATCTTCACTGATCTCTTCATGAGGGAGAGCTTCAAGCAGGGTCATGTCATAGGAACTAATTGTTCTTAGATTGGGACTAGAATTAAGTGTGAGCCCCCAAGTATATTCACATATCTATGATTTATATATGTCTCTGGTTCACTTTAGAGACATTATTGTCATTTTACATTAGAGAACATTATAAACCATTCCTCTGGGGCATATGGTAATTCTAGTGACAGTGCCATTAATCTAGCCAGTGGTATAGAATTTAAAACACTGCTGAGAAAAAGAAATTAAATGAGCACAGGCCAGCTATGAACTGCAACACATGAATTCTTGACTTGTACAGATTAAACTCTTAAACTGGACACTATTTATATAAACAATAGGTGTTGGTGATAGGGCAAAACTTTCAATAGTATTCATTAACAATGAATACTAACAATATCTACTAAATGAATACACATAATAAAGTAAGGAGGGAATTAAAATAGTAAGTATTTGGTAGTTCCAGGCCACTATTCATTGGGCATTCTCAAGGCAAAGGATCTGATTCAAAGTCCAACTTTCACCTGGGCTGTGCCCTGGGGAGAGCCGTCATCTGCTTCTGCTCCCACTCAGAGTTTCAGCCTTAACTCCAAGGGTACATGTGAGTTTGAGACAAATCCCAGTTCACATATATACAAACATATACATACAAACATATGTGTATACATGAGATATGATAGATGTGTATATATATATATGTGTGTGTGTGTTTGTGTGTGTGTATACATATACAGAAAGAGAGAGAGAGAAATTGATGATTTTGCTTCTCTAAACAACCTAGGCCAAGGCAGGGCTAGCAGAAGATTCCTCATGTCTCAGTTTGCTTAGGAAACTACAGGAGACAGAGTATGGCAGTAATGACACACAATTGATGAGGAACGTTGTGAAAGACGAGCTTGTCTCATTACAGAGGTCTGTGCTAGTAGTCTCTGGAGAAGGTCTTCCAGACTTCCATAAAAAAAGTTGTTGTGGGGCGGCCGCAGGGCATCTTCGGAGGCGACAGGAGACGACCTGGCAGGGGCGCGGCCGGGTGGCAAGTTCAAGGCGGGCGACCTGGTCTTCGCAGAGACCAAGGGCTGCGCGCACTGGCCGGCTGCCTGGCGGAGCTCCCGGACGCAGCTGCGAAGCTTCCGGCAAACAAGCATCCTACCTTCTTTTTGGCACCGATGCAACTGCATTTCTAGGTCCCAAAGACCTATTCCCATATAAGGACCACAAAGAAAAGTTTGGAAAGTCGAATAGACGGAAAGGATTTCATGAAGGACAGTGGGAAATTGAAAATAGCCCTAGAGCATCAGGTATCAGGCATCATCAGAACAAAAAATCTTACCATAGTGAATTAGGGGGGTTGTGTGAAGTGTAGACCCAAAGCCCATTAGTAGGCCACTGGAGATCCCCTTGCAGAGGGGTCTCGGGGAGGAGACGAGCCAGGCAGGGTGCGATGTAGCAACGATGAAAAATACAACTTTTCTCTAGTTCCTAAATGCTTCATCCTTCCCTCCTCCCTTCCCCCCCACTATCTTGATCCGAATTCTACCTTGCAAGTCTGGCTAGACCAGAGGATGTACACTGGTACAGATAAGAACTGGAAACACAGGGAATCCAGGGCAGACGATCCCTTCAGGACCAGTGGTGTGAATGGTGATACTGGGAGGGTAAAGGGAGAGTGGGTAGGAAAGAGGGAACCGATTACAAGGATCTATATGTGACCTCCTCCCTGGGGGACGGACAACAGAAAAGTGGGTGAAGGGAGACGGACAGGGCTGGATATGACAAAATAAACAGTTTATAAATTATTAAGGGCTCCTGAGGGAGGGGGGAGCGGGGAGGGAGGGGGAAAATGAGGACCTGATGCCTGGGGCTTAAGTGGAGAGCAAATGTTTTGAGAATGACGAGGGCAACGGATGTACAAATGTGCTTTACACAATTGATGTATGTATGGATTGTGATAAGAGTCGTATGAGCCCCTAATAAAATGATTTAAAAAAAAAAAGAAAGAAAGAAAATAGCCCTGGAGTAAAGTTTACTGGCTACCAGGCAATTCAACAACAGAGTTCTCCAGAAACCCAGGGAGAAGGTGGAAATACTGCGGATGCTGGCAGAGAAGAAGGTGAGAGAAAGAACGGAAAATATCACACACTTCAAAGAACTCCTCCAAACAGTCCCGGAACTCTGCAGGAGATGAAGATGGCAGGGCCGCACAGAAGAAGGACCCAGAAGCAGCTCCGAGGGTGGCGATGCCGGCAATGACGGGCCGAACACCAGAGAAGGGACCTAGTTACCGCAGAGTGCTGCATGTTCAGAAAACCACAAGAAAGTTGTACGTTTGGTTGTCTAAAAATCTTGGGTTTGATAGGTACCTACACGTAGTCTTTGTTGTTAACGACAGGCCCCAGTTTGTATGCGCATCATTCACATTCCTCTCTGTTGTGTTTCAGGGGACAAAAAAGACATTTTAGCCCTTTTTTTAAGATTATTGATTTAATTTAATGTTATTTGGTTGCATGAAGTTGCCCTTTAACACAAAAGATGGTGAAGACTTTTACACAGACTGACCCTTTTAAGGCAGTTAGCTCATCAGTCTCCCCCTTTACCCGGCCCTCGCCAAACCGTTCAATGTCAGCGAGCATTTACATCGGCACTCAATGTTTAAGGCAGGGATTTCCTCTCTGGCAGAACCAACCCAGGATTTCCTTCCTAGATACATAATGTTGGTATATTGACGATCAAATTTAAATGATCCTTCAGTTTTGAGGCCATGTATATGTAAAATTTAATCATATTGTAAAATATCTATTCTGTATTAGAAATAGCGAGTTGAAAGCTTACACTTCTCGAAGCTCATGTTGTTCTGTACACAAACTCAGTCTATGTGCAGTTGGTGAGTCTTTTTGTGTTTCTCTGAATAAAGGCAATGATTTATTTCCTCCCCCCATGCCAATATAATTTGAGCTAATCACTCAAGGTAGGTCCTTTACATTTTAATAAATCTGGAATCAGCAGCAGCCCTATGGGAAACCAGACAAAGCACTGACTTTTTAGTATGAAATCTTAAAAACTGCTCTTTTCTTTTGGAACTACAGTTAGAATTGTTACTATTCATTCCACAAACCATCACTTTGTGTACATTAGTGTTGCTGTTGTGATAATAGAGAATTTTGTTTATTTTTATGCAGCTTCCATTGTGAGAACACAGTTGTCAGTTGGATTTTATTGATCCTGTGATGCTGGTCCTCAGAACGTCTTTCACGTATTCAAGGTTTGTAGTCCAAAGTTTACTATAAAAAAAAAATCAAAAACAAAAAAAGGTATTGTTTTTACAGAATAGATTTATTGGAATGTGTACTGGGATTAAGATTTGAGGTTGTTAGCAACCACGTTAGTGTAATTTGGCTTCATGTCTGTAATGTGAGGTATTAATGTAACTCATATAATAAAGCAAAAGTGGTTAACAGCAGCAACAACAACAACAAAAGCCATTGTGCTCCCCCTGAGTCATGTGTAGATCTTTATTTTAAAGCCATTGTCTCTCTTATGTTACTCTTCTGGGTCAATAGGAAGATTGTTTTTGTTACCTATCTTTGTCATAATGTAAAAACTAAAAACCCAATGGTCAAATTGATTGTGTATCATGGCAACCCAGGTGTGCAGATTCGACTGCATCCCATCGGGTTTTCCAGACTAACCTTTGGGAAGGGGAGTGCTTTAGCTTTTTGCCACTTAGGGACTCTGGCAGTAATATAATTGTCCCCCCAAACTTAATTTTTGTCTACTACAGAGACAGCATTCCAGTGTATAATCTAGTTAGTGACTTAAGTAATGCATTATAGAAATTAAAACTATTGAACACACAAAAAAATAAACAAAACAAACCCATCACACTGAGACTGCCATTGTTCTCAGGAGTAGAAAACTTCCTCTTTCTTCTAGGGAGCTGCCAGGCGTTTCCAACTACTGACCTTGAGGTCAGCAGTCCAACACACACTCAATGCGCCCCAATCAAGCAGGCTGCAATCTATGAAAGATTAATGCTTTGATTTTTTTTTTACTTTGAACCTGAGGACTTGTAGCATATGAGGTTCTCTCCCGCCAAGATACTAGGTAGCCTAGCCACGTTTCTGCTGCTCATCACACTGAAGCATGCGACCGGACACTTTTCTGAGAAATGTCTCTTGTTTGCAATCATTATAGGCTTAGGGGAATCTGACCGTGTGACTTTTGAAGTGGGGCTTATATCTGAACCACTCTTCCCTGATCACAGGGCATTACTATAGACAGACTATCTCTCTTGCTGAGGATAAAGGTCACTTATTGTGCTTAATCTTAATATCCTCTGATTCTTTCCCCACAGTGATGGTTTTGAAGGGACGTTATATTTAAGCTGAAAACACCCCATCCAGTTGTTTGTATGCAAAGGTGTGGTAGACATACAAATAACTTCATGTTATTAATAAGAACATAACCTAATATTTATGTAATTATACACAGGGTATTACCATTGTATAGATTAGGAAGTTAAAATATACTTTGCCAGAATAGTGGAAATAAAGAAACCTTTGCAGTACTCAAGTTTTGTATTTTGTTTAGTTTATTAAATTATCTTATTTTTCATGTTTTGGGAAAGAATAGTCGTGAAAATAGGCATTGGGTATGATTTTTACAATGAAGTTGCTACATATTACTAATATAATCACAGAGACAATTCATATTATAATATATTTGAGGGAGCTTCAAAAAGTTTGTGGAAAAATTGAATGAAAAGATCATGGAATTTTCCCATTAACTTTCTGAAATCCCCTTATATACTTTTAAGGTCTGTTCAAGCATTTCTTTTGATTGGGATTGAAAGATTGAAGATAGCTTCTCCATTCTTGTCTTCTTTTATTTAGGTGTTGTTCATAATTCCGTGCAGAAATTGATTGAGATTCCTTCCATTTTTTCCTTATAGATTTTATCAAACCTCTCATTCTGAGCCACAGTGAAGTGATTTTTCCAATCTCCCACAGTTCCTAAAGAGACCAGAAGGGGTGTCATTTTCTAATGGGAAAAGCTGGTAGTCCATAATACATTACTATCTTGGACCCTACATGCCTTTATCAACTTCTTCTTAAAGTGGATATTAATCCAGCTGTAGCTCTCTGCATTGATAAGAAGCATTAAGGTGCTCTTTGCAAGATAGGGCTCCTGTATTAGATGGCTAACTAACCCATGGGATAACTTGGCCCCAGGCAGGTATCCTCACGCGATGAACTGCTACACAGAAATGAGAGGAATGAATGGTTGACACATAGCCAAATGGCAGTTTGACATGGTGTTGATCACAAGACGCCTGACACAAAAGAGTACATACATGAGATTCTATTTCTAAAAAGTCCAAGAACAGGGAAAACCAATCTATAGTAACAGAAATCAGAACCGTGATTTTCTCTGGTGTTAGAGATTAACTGCAAAGAAATATGCACATTTTTGAGCTATTAAAATATTTAATATCTTGAGTAGGTGCTGGTCATGTGTATATCAAAATGTATCTAACTGTACATTTAGGATATGTGTATTTTATTAAATGTAAATTATATTTCAATATGAACAAGAGACTATTTTTCTCCTAGCAGTAATTATTAAAATAATAATAAGAGGTGTGTGGGGTTATCTTTTTCCTTCCAACGCTTCTTTTGGAGACTATTCAACAGAAAATAAAGTTGTCATGTTTTATTAAAGTAAACAAAAATGTTTATTTAGCTTTATATATAAGGAGAAAAATATTGAAAATGACAGTAACCATAGAGTCTATCACTAGGAGAATTTTTGGCA